TTCCTAGTCTAGTTACTGAGTTTTTCTATGTTTTCTTTCCTAGAGTTTTTGGTCGAGGGATCTACAGGGAAGAGTTTAATATACTGTATTCAGCATAATCACTGTAAACAATTTAAAATAAATATTTTTAGACTTTCTAAAACTATGAAAATGCAAATGCAATTATTAATATACTTTAATCCTTAATAAGATGTAAAACTTCTAAATTTTAAAGCATAAAAAAAAAAATACAAAAAAAAATTAAAACAAAAAAGGTAATGCAAAAAAAAAAAACAACAATATAAAAAATGATTTTTAATTTTCAATATGAAAAAAACTTGTAATATTAACTTGTTTTTTTTGCAAAACAGATAATTTTAAAATCTTCTTGCTTAACTGATAGATGGTATTTCTATCATTATTAGTAGCATTGAACTCATTTGATTGTTGCAAAAGATATGTTTTAATTAAATTAATAGCTTTTAGAGCATCATTATCAGCAATTTTGGACACTGGTTCTATTATTTCTTCCTAAGAAGGTTCATTCTTATTTTCAACAATACAGATTATATCAGCATCAGATGGCATCTCAAAAAAATTTTAGCATCAATGTTTATAAATTTATTTGCATCTATAGGATCATTAATTTCATTTTTTTCTGCCAAATTGGTTATCAAACTGCCAAGCTCCTTACATACTCTTTCTAACTTTACTTGCACCTGTTGACATGTTTGATTTATTTTAACTACTTGGTATCAGAAAAGAATATCTGTTTTTATTTAACAGTTTGCAATTGTTTTCTGAGTAACATTGTTCTATGCATCAGATGTAGCATTAATTGCATAAAGAATATTAAAACTATCGAGTTCAGATAAATCTATTGCTTTTATTTTGTCAAATGTAACAAGCCAATTCTTAATAAAATATATTTATATTGGTACTTAAAGAAGTTAATAATGCTAGCATCACATAGCTAAAGACTAGAAGTGGTATTTTTTGATATCTTTTTAATATAAATATTGTCAAGTACTATTTGCTAAATATAAGTAGTGCAACAATTAACAAAAAGAAGAATTTTGTAGTTTTGATGCTTCATAATTTGATCAACATATTTTAATTAGTTATTATAAATAAAAACCTGCATTTATACAGTTTCATTCTAATAATACCATACAAAAAGTCTATTTTTATTTAAATTTCTAAGAGGGTGTAAATTTTAAACTATATGAATAAATACAGAAGGAGCTTTTCTGTTTTAATTGCATTTATTGCAAATATTATAGTTGCTTATACTTTTTCTTTTTTATAGCCTGAAACAGGTTCTTGTACAAAGGTCTTAGATAAATGCATTTTTCAATAAAGTGATGTTTCATCTGCATTCCAAATATTCTTAAGAGTATACTCTTTACAAAATTCTTGAAGATGTTCTTTGTGTTTATTTAAGGTTTCAATTGAGAGAAAACTAGCAGCCTTGTCATTTTTATAATACTAATAGAGACTAAGCTATTCCTAAAATCCATTAACCTAACTAGTATCTTTAAAATCTAAAATATTTAGAGCTATTGTGAAAGTTTTAGCCTTGTTAAGAAGGACTGCTTGTGTAAGATCCATATTTGCTATAAGTGCACTTTCAGTTCAGATAGCATAACCTCATCTAACATAGGCCACTTTGGCTAATGATCATATTTATAGTTTGCTTTTATTTTATTTATTGCATCAATGTTTAACTACTTATCAGATTGTTTAAGAATATCAGACATGTATGTCTCCTTGACACCATAATCCAAAGCAAGTTCAGAGTTCAAAATAGAAGGAAACTTTTATTTTTTTTTACAAATTTCTTTCTTTTCTTCAGCCATAAGGTGTTTTTTTTTAACAGGAGGTACTTTAGTCAATATTTTAATATAAGAAAAATGAAACTTTGATAGATCTAATTTTTTTATATATATATAAAAAAAATTCACTTCTGCATAGAATTTGCACACACCTGCAACAAGACATAGGACATTTATCAATATTAATATAGATGAAGATAACTTTGAAAAAAAAAATTTCAAAAGCTCAGTCAAGTTGTTAGAGTTGAACTCTAAAGCTGGTAGTCCTACTCAAAACTGGAACATTTAGATGTTCTTTTTGCAAGTCTTTTGGTAAGATAATAGAGACAAGAAAAGATAGTAGAAATGGAAATGATAATTTAAAATATAGGTATAGAAAGATTACAATGAAAATAAATTCTTTTAATAGTTCATATCACATCAAATACACTAATACTTTTAAGATTTCTAAGTTATAGTTTTAATGTTATAAAAGAGCAAAGATTTTTAAAAAAAAAAAATTTCAAAAAAACAAAAAAAATTTATTAAAAAAAAAAAAAAAAAAAAAAAATTTAAGTAAAAAATAACTTAAATTAATAAAAAATTTAACTTTTAAATTAAAAAAAAATAACTTTTAAATTAGAACTTTAAATCCAAGTATGGAACTTGTCTTGAGAAAGAAAAATTTGAATATCATTTTTCCCAAGTTTTATGTATTATAATGAAAAAAATTACTGTAATGTTATTAAAAAAAAAAAGATTAAACATGTAAATACTATTTTGTATAATTTTTTTTTTTATATAAAAAAGTATAAAAGCACTATTTTGCATTAGTTAGTCATATGATAAATATCTGCACATTTATTGGTTAATCAGCATATATATTGTTATATAAGTAAGGAATTTTATTAAAATTAGTAAATGGGTTGGTAAAAGGTTTCATTATACATAACATGTCTTTTTCTTATTAAGTTTATTATAATCATTTAAATTATTTATTAAAAATTTGATACATTGAGTTTAGTTTATTAAACCTATGAATTCAGTATAAGGGTGTCCATTATATACATAGTTAACTGTATATAAAATAACTTTAAAGTCTTCAAAAGCTGTTATGTAAAGAAAAAAAAGCTAAGTAGTTTAGTAAAATAGAAAAAAAAAATACTAGTAATATAAACAAGTAGAATAATATACAACTATTACAAAATAAATAATTATAATATATAAGCATTAAAAATTAAATAAACAAAAATGTCAAAAGATCAAAAAAAAAAAAAAACATATACAGATCAAAATATAATTAGCAATTTAGCAAATTAACTAAAAAAAAAAAAAAAAAAATATTAGTTGAATATTAATTAATATACAAAGAAGAAAAGCATCTACAAAAATAAGTAAATGTAAAGGTTGTAAAATCAAATTAAAACAGACAATAAACAAATATAAGAGATAGATAAGACAAACCTATAATATAAAAGTAATGTTACAAGGTTGTAGCCTTCTTGGTATAATACAACCAAGTAACAAGATCACTTGGTATAGTGATTGACTATTGCAAATATATACAGGGTGGAGGTGTAGTAGTTCACTTTACTATACAGCAGTAGGTAAATGGATTGAGATAATAACAGTATATAATTTAACTTTTTATTAATAACACACATAGTGACAATCTTGCCTGTAGGAATTACTCTAGAGGGGGAATATCACATTTTATTATTAAAAGGTCATTATGTTTGAGTTGAAGTATAGGAACTTGGAATTGGCAGGAAAGAGCAAAAGGTACCCTTTATATATCTTTTTACCTAGTGGGGGTAGTGGAGGTTTGAGTGACATCTCTTGATACTGTACTTGGGGTAGTAGAGATTGTGCAGAGGCAAGTGGAGTTTGTACAGAGATAGTTGGGATAATGTTTATATGTATTTGTTATTTGTACTTGAAACACTTGGGGCATGTGTCAAGGTACTTGGGTTTGTACAAGGACACTTGGGATTGTGCAGAGACACCTGGGAATTGTGTTAGGATACTTGAGAATTGTGTTGGGAATACTTGAGATTCTTGTACTGTGTTATTTGGCACAGTAAATTGTACTAGGATATATGAAACTTGTGTAAGGGTACTTGGAGTTTTGTAAGACAATAATAACATCATAGATGTTACCCAATGTCATGTGTTTGTATCACACTTCTAACAGCCAATTAAGATCCTATTTTCTAACTACTATATATTATAATATAACTATGCTAATAACTAATAATAAATATAATATAAAATACAATAATAAATATATAACAACTACTAATAATATAATATACTATGCTATGCTAAAAATCTACTTTGTAACAGTAATGCCAAAGTTATTAATAAAAAAAAACAATAAGATTAATGCAAAATTAAAACAAATATTAGAAAACAAAATAATAAAAAAATAAAAAATAAATAAAAAAACTATTAGAACTAAGGCAAACAGAATAACTAGAAATAGAGTTAATTAAAAAACAAAGATTAAGTAGCATAATTACAGACTATTTAACAGAGATTCTAGTAAGAAAGAAAAAGAAAACAAAGAAAAATATAAATTTTATATAGACAGAGCATTATTCAAGAAAAAAGAAAAAAACAGTATAGAAAAAATGAATATTAGTTGGTACAAATAGAAGACAAAAAAGACTAACTAAAAAAGAAAACTGTATTAAAACTTGAGAGATGACTATTAGCAATAATAGTAGAATTGGCAATAATATAGACAGCAATTATAATAATACTAAAAAGAAAGAATATAGAAGTGTATACAGATAGCATTATAGTATTAAAAAACATCAACAGAACAATTTAAGATGTAGAAAATAGGAGTGTGGTAACTTAGTAAAGTGAATAAGTTGTCAATCTTCCAAATAGTAGATAGTAAGTTCAAATCTTACTAATAGTAAAAATTTGAATAATTACCTATATAATACTTATATTATGATAACTATTTCTAATGATTGGGTTAAGATACCTGTAATTATAGTCATACTAGCATGACTGACAAGTTATAGAACATCTATGTAACTGGTTATACAGAGAAATGCAAACTGACATTAGGCAGTGCAAATCCAAGATAAGTCCTTGTAGCTATGTAAATCTGTAGAAATTGGTAAACAAGAAGTCCATTTAAGAAGACCTAAGTAGAGAGGTAATACAGATCTTTGATGATACTACTGAAAGACTAAATCTAGGAAACAGATACCAATATAGAGTACCTGGATTGGCAAAAACCTCTAGATGGAGAGTACCACCAACTAGGCCACCAGAATTTTAACTGAGAGAACTAAAAAAAAAGAATATTAGGCTGATCTGATATACCTATAGTCTGGTTATAGTTCTATTAGACTATCTGAATTAGAAGTTTAGAGAAAAAGCAAAGGTATACTAAAAGTACTAGATATATGTTTTGAAGTAAGTGCTGAGATCTGAATGAACTCTGCAAAAGTAATCTCTATTAATAGTTTTAGAGTGGGTAGGTTAGTTAACAAGAGAGCTTTCTAAGCCTTACAGTCAGATAACATGCTTTAAAATTGGATAATGGCTTAACAAACATATAGAAAAGAGGCATAATGTTGGGTTAGACAGCACTTAGATGTATGAGAACTGAGATAACTAATTGTCTGAGTGTAGTATAAGGACCAGAGTGTTAAATTAAATAGTTTTCTAGTAGATTATAGGTATGACAGCTAG